TGTGCTTTGCTACTTTTTTCCTTTTATTTTTGTGGGCGCGAAAGTGAAATACTTGCTCTGAGAAGAGTGGTTCAGTAGAGGGAAACTCTATTGTTACCTGATATTCCTCATCACAGATTCTAGGAAGAGGAGCAAGGTCTTGCTTTTTTCCTTCTGTGAGTAGCTCTAAAAATGCAGAGGACAAACAGCTTTCTCCCCGCTTTTTCTGAAACCAGGAGTCTGATTTGGGAAGTCAGAATGCAGCTCCAGAGCTGGGGAGAGTATAAAGTATTTCTCACCCTTTAAAAGACATGGAAGCAGTATTCCGTTCAGGGGAAAGAGGGAATAGGGGTCTGGTCGGATGGGCGCTGAGCCTGTTGTTTGGAACTCTGTGGGGACAATCACACGGCATAATCACTTGAGTACACCAAATTTGTCTCCAGAGCATTTCTACCCACACCTTTCCGGCCCATGTCATGAGCGTCTCCTCTTTTTGTGCAGGTAGGTTCACTCTGGTTTGTTTTGTTTGCAGAGTACTTGATCACTGGGAACAGGCCAAGAGTGCGCCTTTTGCCAGTATTGTGAAGTGACTCAATAGGATGGCCACTTCAGGATATTGGCAAATTAATCACTTCCTCGGCTCCCTGGAGGAGCTGAGGAAATGGGGAAAAATTATACAAGTGTGTATATGACAGTGAATATTTGTGGCAGCACTTCAGATACAATACTTCCTCCTTGAAGCTTTTGTTAGTTTTGCTTCTCTCAAGTGGAGACCCTGCCCAATTTGATGCAGGCGGGCTTTCCACCAGACTTTGAAAAGCAAAGCCAAACAAAGCTTCCAGGAGGAAGCGTTGCCATTAAAGTGATAAAGTGAGTATTCTGTCAAATATATACTTAGGTGTCCCCCCCCCTTTTTTTTGTCCTTCCATGGAGCTGAGGAAGTGATTAATTTGCCAGTGTCCTGAAATACTGTCTTATTAAGCCACTTCACAGTATTGGCAAATACGGTTGTTTGAGGACTATATGCCACTTGGATGTGAGGATCACACCAAATGGTATATTGGACCTCTTACCAGTCCTATTTAGTCCAGCCTGCTCCAGTCAAGCTGTGTAGACAAGTCCTAAGTTTTGAAAATCAGACTTGGTCTCTCGCTCATTGCTCCACTAGGAGCAGTTGCCTTTCTGTCTTCACTACCTACCTCGCCTTCATGGGAGTGCTTTTGGTCATTGCAATATTTATTCTTCATATCATGCCCCAAATCCTGAGAACATGTTGAGGGTCAGTTATCATCTGCACAAAGACAATTCCCCTCAAAAGTATGCAGTGTAAGAACTGCATATGTCTGCTGGTACAGTTTTTAAAAAATCCACAATGCAGATCCACGGTTTCATCCAATTTTGCAATGTTTGTGCTCTTTAGTTGGAAGTTAAAAGATTGAAGTGACAGTAGAAGATCTCTGCAAATCATAGTACTTCAGATGGTGCCCCCAAGCATGCCTTGCCAGCATATCTCAGGAGATTTAATGGAGAAGATAAATTATATGCAGGGAAATCAATTTGACCCCCTTCTGTTTTCTTGGTGGGTTGAAGTGGGTTTTCAGGTCTTGCTTATTCAAAATAAATATATTTTATACTTAAAAGAGGCCCTGACTCCTAAACTACAAAATTGAAAAAGCTCTCTAGTGAGAACATTATATGGGACTTCCATCTCCTGAGAAGAAATTGAACCAGCCTTTATGTGACAACTCTGATGCTAGCATACCATTATGTTTCATATCTGCCAAAGTTGCTACGAGCCTACCGCTGACCAGGAGTAATACCTGTATATCCATTCCCCATTTTTATTCCACAGAGTAATCATTTGCCACATGTGTAAAAGTACCTTCCTGTTAGTGTTATAGAGAATATATTTTGCAGATGTAGTTTATCTAGATAATTCATAATCGTCTGTTCTTTTCCAAAAATGAAATGAAACAAACAAACAAACAAAAATCTGCTGGCCTATGACTGAAAGACTGAAAAGTATTTTAGATCTGTTCTTTTCCAAAGAAACCTGTTGCGGGTTTTTTTGGATTTTTTTAAAAGGAAAGCTCTGTTTGCCCTTTCCCCCTTTCATCTTCCTGCAAGTGCTTGATAGATTCTTTAAAATATCTGGAAATAAAATACTGTAATAAAATTTTATTTTGCATCTTCTTCATCCATTATAAACAATGAATTGTAATTTTTAAGGTATTTCCTGTAGTAAAGCTTTTTGAGGGGCTGCATCACTGAGCTAGATTAGGGAGCTTTTAGTTACCCAGATGTTTTGTACTGCAGCTCCCACTGCCCTTAAGTGTTCGCTGTGCTGGTGGGAGTGATGGGAATTGTAGGTCAAAACATTGTTGGGCCAAAGTTTTGCCACCCCTGGGTTCCAGGCCTCCACTTTTCTACACTGTGCTGCAACGTGTCCTACATTTAGACCTCTACCTTGAATTGCAGCAGGCGGCTGCATCTCCCACCTCTATACAAGCTTCTTTAAAGCCAGCAGGGCTATCACAGGGCTTATCACCAGCCTACCAATGCAGGGAGTGACACCGACCAGACATACTATAACACAATCCAGGGAGTTGTCAAACAAAAGACCTCTGCCTCTTCTGAACCCCACCAAGGCTCCCTTAAGGCTCATTCTACACCATACTGTATGGAAAGGATTGTTGCTATAGAAGGAGACCCCCATCAAAATGGTCTCTGTTTCTGTTTCTGACTCTGTCTCAATCTCTCTCTCTCTCTCTCTCTCTGTGAGTCAACTTTTGTAGTAATTTTTTTAGGGGCACAAGAGTTATGCACGGATTTTGAACTACACAGAGCCCGGCTCCCCTAAGCTCAGTGTTGTTGAAGGGAGAAGTGTAATAACCTAGCAGCTAAAGCACACTGGGTTATCAAATGTAGTATAATGAAAATTGGAATGGTGTTAACTTCAGTGTTTTTTGTTTGTTTGTTTGTTTGTTTGACTTGTGGCATCTTAACCTTAAGGATTTTGTGGCACTGGGTTACTGGATCACAGCAAAATATGAACAATGTGTGTGCTACCATTTCATAGGACCATGGCCCTTTGTAGGGCATTGGGGGTAAGGAGAGCCCATGATTTCATAGCCCTGCCTTGGTTTGTCCACTAATAGTGCCTTACAGTCCAAATCACTGTGAGATGAAGAAATGGCCAGAGAAATAAAATATATACTGTAAATAAAATAAACTTCTGGAAATCCGTGTAGCAAATCTGATTCTAGACCTGACCCTCCAAGTAGAAAGCCATAGTTGCTATCAGGGAGTCCAGCTCATTTGTGGTTCTGCTGACTGAAGCTATGCTGCAAAACTTGGAAAGCAGAGCGGGGGTGCTTGACTGGGGGGCAGCATTTAAGAATATCCTGTCACACAGAGGAATGAAGGTTGAACTCCCTTTAGCTCTTTCCCCCCCCCCTTCCTACTCCCTAACTCAGCATCTAGGTATCCTTGGAGGCAGTCTTATAGATTGCAGTTTTCAAATGCTACCACCATCCGTGGCTCCACAACCCCCACTCCCACTTGGTCTCCTGGTTGCTCTTTGGCCAAGAAAATGACTCAGTTGCTTGGTAATCTTGAACTGATATTTTCTTCATAGAATTTGCCTTTGGCCACCCCTTCATAATTAACCCAGCCTGTTTCTAGTTTGAGCCCTGCATCCTGTATTATCTACCAAAGATTATGCCAGATTTTGCTAATCTCCTTGTCGCAAAGCTTTAACTTTCCAAACTATCCCAAATAATGCTGTATCTACTTTAAAAAATAAGACTGGGATGTTCTTTGTCCCAATGTTTGGCATGTGGTAGAGAGGGTGGGCAGGAGGAGAAGGTTCGGGTAGGAGGGGTGCCGAAGATGGGGACAGATTATGAGATCTCTTTGTTGTACAGGTCATTCTTGTGCAGTAGTTCCATCAACGTACTGTAGCTGAAAGCATATGTGGGTAGCAAGACAGTTTGTCAGTGACCAAACAGAAATGAAAAGAAATAGACTAGATTCAGTAAGCAAGGACTCTCTTGCAGCCCAGATCTTGATGTAGGTATTCATTATTTTGTGACTGTAGTTTTAAACCCCATATAAATGACTTTCCAGCATTTTTGGAAAAGGAGCACCATTAATTGAATGGAGGAAGAGGAGGAGGATCCACTTCCATGCTATGTAACATATCAGGCAACAAGAATTCTCCAGCTCATTTGGTCTTGTGCGAGTGTTTCCGTGTCCTCCTATGCTCTATGTTGTGTCAATGTTCTTTGCCATACTGTATTATTCAAGGGTGTCCTCGTTGTTGTTTGGTGCTGAGGGTGTGTGAGTCCAACTCATTCCTTCCTTATGGATCCAGTTGTTCTCCAAACATTGTTCTGCGTAGTTGAACGATTTCCCTGTAAATCAGATTATTTAGATCCAAAATAGAGATGTAACAGTCCCTGAACTACAGATTTTGCCATTTTTCCTTAGTTGTAATGAAGGATGATTGGTTGAAAGCTCTCTTAAAGGTTTGTCTTCAAATGTGAACATACATTTTTGAAGAGGGAAATGCAGGTGTGATTTAAAATCAAGAAGATCATATCTGGGTTAAGGGCTGAGCGCCTCTTCTTTTATCCTGTGCAAGACTGCACCACCATGCTGAAAGAGAAAGATGCAGCTCTGTGGATGGTTGATTGCACTCTCTCTGTTGATGGTGCTTGTGGAGACCTTTGGACCCATGAGAGATTATAGCACAAGCAGTTCTAAAACTTGTGATTCATATGAAATAGAGGACCTCTATGAGTTTGTTACCATATTTACCTAGTAATGGGATTCATCAGAGTGTACTACTGTTGGTGAATGCTTCGTCTTCACAATACCCCTGTGGAAGATATACTTTACATGTGACTTTCAGGATAGCTAATTATGGATCTGGGAGGAACCAGTGGATTCACTTTTACTCAGCGAACTTTGTAGTCCTCACAAACTGTCATTAACAATTTCTTCTTCTTCTTTTTAAGACAATCTGCTTCATCTTGACCTGCCATCATTCCAAGATAGTAGCGTCCCTGCGGCTCTTTGCTAACACTGACATGGTACAGAAGATTTAGAATTGGGTAATTGGTCGCCTTCAAGTAGATTAGAACCAAAACTTCTATTTTCTTCTTATCTGACATGGAAATGTATCTTTAACATTCCTGTGATGTGTGTTTCTTTCAGCTGATGTTCACAAGGAAAAGAGTCACGTGATGTATGAAGGCAAACACATACACTTTTCTGAGGTTGACAATAAGCCGTTGTGCTCGTACAGCCCCAAACTGTGCAAGCAGAGACGACTTAACGGCTACGCCTTCTGTATCAGGCACGTTCTGGAGGACAAGACTGCCCCCTTCAAGCAATGTGAATATGTGGCCAAATACAATAGCCAACGCTGCACCAACCCCATCCCCAAATCTGAGGACCGTAGGTGAGTATACATGCAGATATACTCTCACATAGAATTTTGCCCATATTTTAGAATCTTAATTGAAGGCTCCGTGAGAACACAAATGAGGGCCTTTCCAGTGGATGCGCCTAGAATTTCTCTCTGGCTGCTATCCTTCTGCTGATGGGCGTGTACCTTTCGATGCAGGCAGACCTCTTGCGTTCATTCCAAGCTGTTATTGGAAGATTCTCTTTTCTATCTTATGGGTATGGTTTCATTGTGTTTTAAATCTGTTTTTATGTTTTAATTAGATTTCTGCTTTTATTAGAATTATTTTTGTTAGCCGCCTTGAATTCCGCTTTTTTCAAGGGGGCACCAATAAAATAAATGACCAACCATGGAAGGTAGGAATATAGAGGAAATATTTCTGAAATGAAAGCTGAGAGCTCCTGGAATTCATTTTTGCACAGAACTTTATGTTTAAAAACTGCAGAATCTACTCTATTCCCTTGGACATTATGATCCTCTTCTGGGCCACAGCACTGGATATTTTTCTTCAGGATGTTTACCACCCCTTGTCCAGGGGGACAAGGCAGGTTACAGTATTTTTGTCATTTTATTATCTTTTTAGTTGTGTGTGGTCATTTCAGCAAGAGTGATAGCTCCCCAAGTTGCTTCTGGGAGTCTATTGCTGACACAAGATTTTGTGATGCTAATGTCCAACATTATTTTTAATACCATAGACCTAAATATATAACTGTAGAAAAAACAGGCATAATGTTAATAAGGCTTTGTGTTCTGTGGCTCTGTTCAGCTCTGGAAAAGTTTCTGGATTTGGTATACATTCACCATCCTTAGAACCAATGTGCACACAGAATGCGTTGTGAAGAGTAGGGAAGTAAATGCACATGTGCTCAATTTGAAGGCCTCACAATTTAGGTTTTCAGAAAGAATTAGGGATAGGATCTTAGTGCAAAGTATCAACAACCTTGATATTAAACCAACTTAAGAAATTCAGTACACTTCTCCCTTGAATTGCATGGGTCTGAGCAACACGGCTTTGGTTATACCTGGATTTTTCCCCGATAAATAAATAAAAATTCAATGAATACTATGCTGCTATTCATCTCCAGGAAGTGGTTGGAGAATGGTGAGTTGCAGTTATTGAGGCCCCTGTTTTTTAGTGGTGTGATAGCCCCTGGGTCAGTGGTGGCAGCCCGGCTGGCCCCCTCTCCTCTGTTATGGGGGCTTCATGTGGTGACCAAGGAGGGTGGTGGGGTGCGGGTCAGGGGAGGTGTGTGTGTGTGTGTGCGTGTGTGCGAGAGTTCTCTCTCTCTCTCTCTCTCTCTCTCTCTCTCTCTCTCTCTCTCTCTCTCTCTCTCTCTCTCTCTCTCTCTCTCTCTCTCTCTCTCTCTCTCTCTCTCTCTCTCTCTCTCTCTCTCTCTCTCACACACACACACACACACACACGGGAAATGTGTACTTGGCTAACGGTGCTTTTTGTAATTTAACATCTGAAAGGAGCGTCTTATAGGCTATTAATGTGGATGAAATCTTCTCCAAAATTAGAATGTGTAGAATTTCACAATTGGATTCACAGTTTAAACTCAAGTAAATGCTTGTTTTTTCTCAAAGAAGGCCTAAGAAAAAAGTTCTTAAAAATAAATGGGCATAACTTATTTATTATTAGTTGCTGTTGATTAGCTTTCCTGGCACTTGCAGTGTTCTGGTGGTGTCCCATCAGTTTTGGTTCAAATCCTGACTCATTCTTTAGTTAGTAGTGGAAATTCCTGTTTTGTTTTTTAATTTTTTTATTTTCATATCAGGGTAGGGAAGGAGGGGAAACAACGGGGATAAGGATAGAATGGGAGTGAGACTGAAAAAGGTACCTTACAAACAATTAATATAGTCCGCATAGTATACGATCAATTCAAATTATACTTTGCATATGTTACACAATCTGTTCCAGACATACTTGATATTAATCTAATCGTTGACTAAATAGCTGTCTATTTTTTTATATTATCCATTACTGTTTCTATTTTGGAACCATGCATATAGTTTTTCCCAACACTTCTGGTGGTTTTTTTTCCCTTGTTTCATCTAGCCATTCTGATAATTGGTCCATTTCTGCAGTTTCAAAAGTTTTGGCTATCAGTTCCTCTATTTCCAATATTTCAAGCTCTTTCCAGTGTTTTGCAAAAACTAATCTTGCATCTGTTATAAATCCCTAAGTATGTTTTTGCAAGGTCCATAGAGTCTGGCAAAATATTTAATAAAAATAATTCAGGTTTCATAGGAACTGGACTTTCAAGAACCTCTTGTAAAAAACTGCCTCCCTTTGTTCCAGTTTCTTTGTGCTTTTTTACAAGCGTACCACATGGGATAGAATGATCCTTCCTTCTGTTTACACCTCCAACATAAATTTGATATTTGGGCATTCATTTTGGCTAATGTTATGTGTGTCATATACCATCTATTTGTAAATATTCTCTTTAAATGTAACAAATTTAGTTAATTTTATATTTATTTTCCATATTCGTTCCCATTGCTCTAAATCTATATTGTGCCTACCATTCTGTGCCCACTTAATCATACATGATTTCACTATTTTCTCCTGTGTATCAAAGTCTAACAAAAATTATGCAATAGCTTAATATGTTCTAGAAGGATTCTATCAAAGTGTATTTTCTAAATAGAAGCCTTGTTGTTTATCTTTAACAAATCTTGATGATAGTTGAGATAGAGCCCACCAGTCCATTTCAATTCCTCGATCCACTAATTCTTGTTGGGTTTTGAGAGAGTCATCAAAGTTTAAGATCTCACTGTATTTTACTATTTTCTTATTTTCTCTCAGGTTTGGGATGGGGGCAAACACCTCAATTGGTGTCACCCAGTGTGGAATTTTCCTATACATTTGGTTCTTTGATTTATTCCATGTACATAAAAGTGCTTTCCTCAAAAGTTCTTGTTTTTTGAATGACTTTTTGTCATTTTTCCTAAGGAGGAAGACAGGCCACATAAAGCTATATACATTATGAATATTTTGCTATGGTCGCAAACTAAAACAGTTATTCTGTATATAATTTTACAAGATGACTATTTAGCAGGGCAGCACGAAAGCTACATAGTCGTGGAACAGCATTGAAAAACTAAAGACAGGAGGAAGAAAGGGGCACAAGTTATCCATTACATTTAAGAGGCAGATTTACAGATATACTCATAACTGACGGGGTAATTAAGAAGCTGCTTCGTTTTTAGATAGACTTGTAACTCTGAGACAAATTTGTAATTATAATTACTAGTCCAGGGATTAGTTGAAGACAGGGTTATGTTTGCAGGTCAGGGACCAACATTCTGTAATCAGAAAATCCATATTCAGCAATACCACAATAAGCATCACATGCAGAATATATTTTGAGGATGTATTTCGCTTCTTTTGTTACCTAAAACTGGAATCACAATTTATCTGATTGTGCTATATTTTATCTTATGGTATTGATGCAAAAGATTTCAATAAAGAAATAGAATAAGGCATTAGAGTTACAGTTTATTGCCAAACAGTAAACTAATTTTCAAGAATATGAGCATGAGTCACTGAGGCATTCCTTAAGTCTCTCCAGTTAGCCAGTTTACTCAAGAGTCATACTGATAATTGTTTATATTTCCTACTTTGTATGAAAAAGCTATGCTGGGCAGACTTCATTTATTTATTTCTAATAGTTATTATTTTTGAAAAATATATAAGCAAAATGATTTTGACATATAGTCCAAGAGGTGTGTGTGTGTGCGCGCGCGCTATTGTTTAAACTAATGGCCAGAGTCATGTCACCTACACAATCACATAAGGGCAATCACACAAATGGCAGTAGTTGTTTCTCAGGCTTTCCATAGTGTACCCAATCTTCCCCCAATTGCACAGCTGATCATGTGCCCTGCAACAGCCTGGTTCTGATGCAAAGTACTTCTATCATAGAATCATGGAACAACTGAGTTGGAACGCTATGGAGTCCAACCTCCTGCTCAGTGGAGGAATCCAAAAGCAGATCTGACAGATCTTTGTCCGATTTTCTCTTGAATGCCTCCAACATTGGAGCACTCACCACCACTTGAGGTAATTCATTCCATTGTTGTACTGCTTTAACAGTTAAGAAGTTCTCCTGATAGTTAGCCTAAATCTTCCTTTCTTTAACTTGAGCCCATTGTTACATGGCTTGCACTCTGGAATGATTGAGAACAGATCTTGTCCCTTCTTTGTATGGCTATCTTTCAAGTATTTGAAAAGTGCTATCATATCTACCCTCAGTCGTCTTTTCTCAAGGCGAAACATGCCCAGTTCCTTCAGTCTTTCCTCCTAGGGCTTGGTTTCTAGTTTACTGATCATCTGTCCTCTAAACTTGTTTCAGTTTGTTGGCATCCTTCTTAAAGTGCTCTGTCTGGAACTGGACATAGTACTTTAGCTTAGGCCTTTTGTTGTTGTTGTTTAGTCGTTAAGTCATGTCCGCCTCTTTGTGGACTCTTGGGCCAGGGCACATCAGCCCCTCCTGTCTTCCACTGTCTCCGGGACTTGGGTCAAATTCATGTTGGTAGCTTCCAGTCGAACTATTTAAAATCTTAAAAGACGACACTGTTAAGGTGCTATACTCAATATGCCAGCAAGTTTGGAAAACTCAGCAGTGGCCAGAGGACTGGAAAAGATCAGTCTATATCCCAATCCTAAAGAAGGGCAGTGCCAAAGAATGCTACAACTACCGAACAATTGCACTCATTTCACACACTAGCAAGGTTATGCTCAAAATACTCCAAGGTAGGCTTCAGCAGTATGTGGACCAAGAACTCCCAGAAGTACAAGCTGGATTCCGAAGAGGCAGAGGAACTAGAGACCAAATTGCTAACTTGCACTGGATTATGGAAAAAGCCAGAGAGTTCCAGAAAAACATCTACTTCTGCTTAATTGACTACGCAAAAGCCTTTGACTGTGTGGACCACAACTAACTATGGCAAGCTCTTAAAGAAACAGGAATACCTGACTACCTTATCTG